AAAATTTCCCGGGGGCCCCCCCGGGGAACCAATTAAAAAAGGGGTTTTGGGCCCCCGGGTAAAAAAAAAATTTTTTCCAAAAAAAACCCAAAAAAAACCCCAAAACTAATTTTACCCCCCCATTTTTAAACCGGAAAAATTTTGTTTTTTTTGGCCCCCCCCCCCTTTTTTTTCCCCCCCCCCCCCTTTTTTTCCCCCCCCCCCCCCCCCCCCCCCCCCACCTCTTTCTCTCTCTCTTCGCAATAATCCCCTCATATTTCCCCTCGGCTTATTATTATTATTTTTATTATCGCCCAATTCCTTTTCAAATCGATCACAGGAGCGAAACTCCTCCCCCGCTTTAAACCCCCAACATCGCGTCCGATCCAAATGGCTTTCCACATCGCTTGCCCCATCACTTGGTAAGACTTCTCCTCCCCCCTTCTCCCTCCCCCTCTTCTGCCCTGTCTTCTCCCCCGCTCTCCCCTCCCTCCCTCCCTCTCGCTCGCTCTCGTTTGGTTCCGTGACGATTGGATCGACGATCGGTGACCCGCAGCCGGCGGATTTGCGATTGCGAGCTCGGATTCCCCGCGGCGCTGCGCGGCGAGGCGGCGAGGAGCGGGTTCTTGGATGAGATCGACGCGCTCGAGGAGTTCTTGAGGGACCCATGGACCGTCCGGCCCGCAGACGAGGAGGTGGAGGAGACCGTTCAGGTCTGGGTCCCACGCGTGGCGCAGGTCGCGGCCCCGCCCTCGGCGGCCGTGGACGATGGGGGTGGCGGCGGCGGCGGCGGCGCGGGGGATGAGGTGAAACGGGCGCTGCTGCAGCGGCAGGCGCTGGCTGCTTCCCTGGCGGCTGAGGATTACGTCCGGAGGTTGGAAGCTGGGAATGGTTCGGTGAGTGGTCCTCTTGTATCTCTTGGTTAGGTTTTGTTTAGCTTGTTGGCTCGCCCTTGTCTTAGATTTGGCCAATGACACTGTTGCTTTAGGGTCTCGTGGTATTCTAGAATTTATGTCCAAATTTCCACTTTAGTTTTCTGAATTTATACCAGAGTTGAAGTTTCTTTCTTTAAGAAATAATCTATTATGCTTGCTTAATTTTCTACCATGTTTCTTTCAGGTTTACAACTATTCATTTTTGATAACTGGATTCATAAATTATGTTTTTTTTGTCATGCACTTTTTCTTTGTTTTCTATGTTAATTGTGCTAGATGTTTTGGTGGTTGTTTAAGGCACCTACATGATGGAACCAGTATATGTTATACATTTATTTTGCCATTAGAAGATATCTGATTATGATACCATGACAATAAAGGGATTGAATCGTGGGCATTGAACCCATGCCCATTTAATAGCCTGACCGATACGGGTCCGATCCATTGTCGGGGTACCAAAACATGATACCGAGAGGGGAGGATCAGGGTATCAGGACATTCACTAGGAGTTGATGTGCTACAGGCTACAAGTGATAACCGGCATGCAGCGGACGACAGGTCGTATAGATCAATGAGCTCATGGCACAGGCAAGAGAGTCGTGAGTGTCCATGACACTTGTGTGCATGCATTGCAAAACGAAACCAGCATTAAAAGAAAATGGACCGGGTTGCCCGAAAGGGTCAGTCCACATCCTGGTTCACGTTGGGGCCAATCATTGTCGATTTGGAGATCTAAACATTTGGATGTCAAAATCTGAAAAACCTGTAACGAATATCCCCAGGACAATATTCTTTTATTTGTTGTCATAATTTGAGCAATATTTGATGCTAATAATATGAATACTGGCTTAGGGCTTAGCTTCCTCCCAAATCTTTTGTAACATTGTCCTTAGTGAATAATTGCATCTCATCATCATGTCTTATGCTACACTTGAAAAACTAGAGGTCTATTGTTTCATAACAAACTAAGCATTTTTTCTCTACGTTCCATGATATAACTGTAATTATTTAAGTTATATGGTTTCCATCTTAGCTCAATTGATTGATCACTATATGTTACAGGACAGGACGTATTTTATTTCCCTAATATTTACTGGCATTAATATGTATTCCCTCACGTCATTTTTAGATATCAATTAATTCAACTTACTACTATTCAAAAGTTTGTGGATTATATTATATATATCTCTGCACTTGTATTCACCATCTCAACGATAACCATATAATTAGGATTTTCTGACAATTTCGAGGTGTCAAATGAAATAGCTTACATGGCACTAAATTGTTTACACAAGAATTTTTTTTCTATATTGTGGAACAAAAAATTAGATAATAATGGTTGAATTATCTCAGGAGGTACTAGGAGAGGCAACCAGCAATCTTGCTGGAGAAGATCAAGGCATTCCTACCATCAAAGTTATGTGCCGTATATGTTTTACTGGGGAAAGTGAGGGTAGTGAGAAGGCTATGAAGATGCTATCATGCAAATCATGCAACAAGAAGTACCATAAGAGTTGCTTGAAAACATTGGCTGAACATAGAGGTTTCTATTTACAACTCTAGAGTACAATAGAACCATTTTTCCCCCAAAGATTTCCTAGCTAAGCATTTTTCCTGCAGATCTATTTCATTGGAGTTCGTGGTCTTGCCCCTCTTGCCGCATATGTGAGGTACTTGCTTTTCCTGTTCTAAGTTGGTTACAGCATTTTCTTGAGAAAGGGTAACAATAATATTATTAGATATTTGTGTGTTTTTTGGAACTTTTTTCTCATATTTTATTTCATGGAATACATTTTGGCAATTATGGACTTTTCAAATTATGTTGTCTGTATATGTTCTATATTTCTTTGAACACACAGAACAAGTTCTATCATTGTTGGAGTGCTGGTAGAGCCAACTAAATTTTGGTTGTTAAAGCATGGTTAGACAAAGTTCTATGTTCAGTATTCTGGGGCTGCTGATTCTTGAATTTAAATGTTTTTTCCTACTGAATCTTAGTGCATCCTTTTATTTTGTGGCCACCTTGACATTGCGTGCATCTCTTTTTAATTCTTTCGACCTCGAAAACATGTTGATCTTAATTCCATGATGTTGACAATTTAGTAATTTACAACTAAAACATTGACAATGTTGGGAACAAAATTTCATCATGTCATCCATCTTCTGCTTTCTAATATGACTGTCCATTTATCTATGGGTAATGGGTCCAATATTTGTTCATTCAGTCTATTTCAAATTGATTTCGGCATTGATCTGGTTCCATTCCATCTAGAATGCTAACTTTTATTTCTAGTTGATAACTATTAAGACATACTGTTTCTCTAGTGAGACCGAGGAATGTATAATTCCTCGGTCTTGGCAGTAGCAGACACTTGAAAACATAAATGTATAATTCTTTCTTGTACTTAGGTTGTCATATGCGTGCATTATATGTGTTGGTCTGCTGTGAGTTTTGATAATTGAGAGATTTTTTTTTAATGTGATGTCTAATCTGAATGGATAGTCACGTCA